CACCTTCCTCCTCCTCGTCTCCTCGTCTCCTCCTCGCTCCTCCTCCTCCTCCTCCTCCTCCTCCTCCTCCTCCTCCTCCTCCTCCTCCTCCTCCTCCTCCTCCTCCTCCTCCTCCTCCTCCTCCTCCTCCTCCTCCTCCTCCTCTCCCTCTGACAGCTTCCACAGGCAGAGACCTACTACAAAATGGCCATCGATCGGGTGGCCATGAAAGCCGCGGCAGCCGGCCCGACAGTTATCGCTCCACCTGAGTACCGCGACCGGTTCCGGGAGGCCATGGAACGTGACTTCATCGCTTCTCCTTTCTTCTTCCGCTCCAACATCGTAGCTGCTGAATGACGGGCTTCACAAGACTCCTAGCAGGCTCCTCCTCCTTGTCTCTTCCTCCTCCCTCTCTCATTCTCCTTTCCCTTTCTTCCTCCTTTCTTCTTCCGGAGTCCTCCTCCCTTGAAGGTCCCTTGTGAAGAGGCTACTGACAAGGCATCATGCCCTGAGCCGTCGGCCGCCGCTCTCCGACGGGATGAGCCCGATCAGCAGCACTGGCTGAGCAGCAAAGCACGGAGCAGCAGCAGCAGCAGCAGCCGCAGCAGCAGCAGCAATGAGCAGCAGCAGCCCGGCCGCTGAGCAGCAGCCCCTCCGACCATAGCATGTGACCGGCTGCCTCTGAATCCTCATTTATTGAATGAATTAACTGAACTTGATCGGACCGTCCGACAACTGAGCCAGCGGCTGCTCGTCCTGAAGCCACGGCGGCGGCCGGGCTGAGTGCTACGATGATGATGATGCGGATGGGAACTTTGCAAGGTGACGGTGCAACCGGTCCCATAGTCCACATGATAGCACCTTCAGTTCACAACGCCGGGGGTGGTAAGGCCAGGCCGGGCTCTTACTGTTACCGTAGTACCGTGACTGCCCAATCATCGTTACCGAACTCGGAAGTTTGAGTAAAGACCGGGAGTCCCTACTACGGCAGTGAAGGATCGGTTGAGTGACCGAGTCGTCTCAAAGTAAGGTTCAACCGGAGCCCCCGCCGCCCGATCGGACAGGCTAGCCCCCCCGGGCCGGGCCGGCGGCCGCAGCTGCGGCACCGCCGGCTCAGGGAGCCTTGCGGGCCGGCCCGGTACTTAGTGGGGATGAGGGACCAAGGGATGCATACATAAGGAGGGGTTCCGCTTGCCACGAAGGTTGCTGTAGATTCCGAGGGTAGTGGGATGGAATTGTAGGGGTGGTCTAAATATGGGGGTAGTGCCATGTGAGATTTGGTGGGGTCTGAGATGGAGATGAGAAGGGTGGGGTATCACAAAACCTCGATTACACATGGTGGGGTTATGTGAAGGTTGGAACCGGTACATTTTACCAGAAGATCATAGGTAGTGAGAATTCGTAAGCAGACCCCTTTGAATACCGGTGTCTTTTCCTAGTGTGAGAGGGGTACAGACAGGGGGCGTAGGGGTGGTACCACTCTTTCGGAGTATACTGTGGGAAAGAGCAGGGGTAGTCGCAATCCATCGGGGGAGATTACCACCCTGGGTGGAGTAGTACAATGATGGTCAAGAGGTAGGGTGATCGCATGAGGTGGGTAGGGTTATGTACATTTCATCGAGTTGGTCTCGAGTCCATTCAGTTTGCGGTCTAAAGTAGGGGTGGTGAAAACTCAGGGGAGAAATTAACCATAGGGGTGGTAGAGCACGAGGGTGATGAAAGACGGTCAGGGTAGTCTTTGGAGGGGTGGGTATGATAGGACGGGGTAGTGTGGGGTAGGGGGCTGGGGAGATGCACGCGGGGAGAGAACATGGCGGAAGGAATTTGAAGAGATTTGAAAGAGGAGAAGGAAAGAGTAGAGAACATGGTGGAGGAGAAGCAGAGACGACATGGCTATGCGCAGTGAAGGAGAGATATGAGAATGCTATATGAAGTTGAGAGGATCAGGTGAAAATGGGGTTTAGAGCGAAGTATTTGCTGTTTTGATGAAGGACCATGGATGGGTTGCCTGACATATGGTTTCCTGTGATCAAAATGATGTTCACAAGATGTAGTAGAAGAATAAGATCTCAGTTGCAAGTTTTGTTCGTCTGATTTTGATGATGAAGTTGTTTGCAATCATATAGTTACTCACATGCTAAGTGCCACAAAATCGTACGTGTCGAGCCTTGTACACTCTCGGTCGCCATGCCCATGTCATTCTTCTATATGCTCGAGCTTGCTGATGTATACCTCGCTCACTTTATACTCGAACCTTGTCTTGTGGTCTTTGTGTTGCTACGGATTCAGACGTATTGGACCGACATCTTCCATACTGACTATGACGCGCAGGAGCGAAGGGACGGAGACTGATTCATTCCAATGCTGCGATACAATCTGCGGGTGAAACTGTTCTGTGATATGTGACCCAAAGTCTGGGACGACCCCTTCACCGCCCTCATTCGTTAATCGCCATGGTGCCCCCCGCCTTGCATGAAGGGTTCTGCAGCCCTCGAGGCAGGACTTGTTGCTCTCAGGTGGGACACGTGGAGTTGTTGGAGAGCTGGGAAACGCAGGGGAACAAGCTGAGATGCGAGCAAGACCTCCTGCTGGCCAAGGTTCCCTCTCGCTTCCACCACCTTGAGGAAGTGGCCGAGCTGGATGATATCTTCAGGGAGGTGTATCCTCTGATCCGGCAGTACGAGACGGAGAACGCGCTAGCAGACGAGCACAAGGTGCTGGAGTTCAGGACGCCAGCGGAGCTGAAGGAGGAGGTGGACGTGGGGCTGCCTGAGGAGGGATCTGTGGAGAAATTTGTCGAGGGATGCAGAAGCTCTATGAAGTACAGCGTCCGAACGAGTCACCCGCGCTTCATGAACCAGCTCTATGCTGGCAGCGACCCGGCAGGGCAGGTGGCAGAGCTGCTCAGTGCTGTGCTGAACACCACCATCCACACGTACGGGGCAGCTCCCTTCTTCTCCGTGCTGGAGCGGCAGGTGATCGAGAAGCTGGGGAGGATGCTGGGGTTTCAGGAGCATGTCGACGGCGTCTTTGCCCCCGGAGGCTCGTACGCGAACATGGTGGCGCTGATAGTTGCGAGGAACCAGCACTTCCCTCATGTGCGGGAGCATGGCTGGAGGAGCGACGACAAACCTGTTATCTTCACTTCTTCCCATGCTCACTACTCTGTCGCCAAGGCTGCCATGATCACGGGGATGGGGTCGAATCAAGTGGTCGCTGTGCCTACGGACGAGCAGGGAAGAATGCAGCCTGCAGCGCTGGAGGAGGAGATTATGCGAGCAAAGGAGAGCGGACGGAAGCCTTTCTACGTGAGCTGCACGGCAGGGACGACAGTGACTGGGGCGTTTGACCCGATTGACGAGATCTGTCAGATATGTAGAAGGTGAGGGAGAGGAGAGGAGAGGAGAGGAGAGGAGTGGAGAGGAGAGGAGAGGAGAGGAGAGGAGAGGAGAGGAGAGGAGAGGAGAGGAGAGGAGAGGAGAGGAGAGGAGAGGAGAGGAGAGGAGAGGAGAGGAGAGGAGAGGAGAGGAAAGAGAGGAGAGGAGAGGAGATGAGAGGAGAGCATTTGGTGGCGATGGAATGGAAGCATGTCTTTTTCATAACTTCTCCTCTCTCGCCCGTCTTGTGTCGCATTTGACCTCTTTTTTGACAGGCATGAGATGTGGCTGCACACGGATGGCGCGTGGGGAGGAGCTGCAATATTCTCGGAGGAGCACAGAAATCTTCTACGAGGAGTTGAGGTGAGGAGCCGAGGAAGACGAGAAGACTCTTGTGTTGGCCGTGTGGAAGGGAGAAAACCTGAGTGCGAGGGGGGAGGGTGCTGAGTGGAAAGCAGGGTGGGAGTGGGACGGGTAAGAGAAGGGGAAGGGGAGCGGCAGGGAGGGAGAGCGAGATTAAGAGGGAGGGGGAGGAGGATGTCAGGAGGTGTTAGGAGGAGTCAGGAAGCATCTTGATAGGGTGACATGCACGTTCAGGGCGTCGATAGCTTCTGCTTGAATCCGCACAAGATGCTGGGGGTCCCGATGCAGTGCTCCGTGCTCATCCTCAACAACCACGAGGGGCGCTCGAGAGGAGCAACAGTACAGTCGCGGACTACCTGTTCCATCCTGCCCTTGACGTGACAACAACGTTGCCGGATGAGCGAGAGGATCTTACATGATGCAGGAGGAAGAGAGCTTGGATCTCGGGCAGAAGTCGCTGCAGTGCGGAAGGAAACCTGATTGCCTAAAGGTGGGTTGGGTGGATGGAGGGAGGAGGAGGAGGGGGGGGAGGAGGAGGGAGGAGGGGGAGGATGGAGACGATGACGCAAGGGAAGAGGTGGATGAGGATGCAACTCCATTCATGGTGGAGGAGAGGAGCAGGGAGCAGGGAGCAGGGAGCACCGAGGGAGAGGAGAGGAGAGGAGAGGAGAGGAGAGGAGAGGAGAGCAAGTTGGAGCATTTAGAAGAAGGTATGCTTGTTGGTTTTCACATGGTGGATGTCAGCTCTGGCTCTGCTGGAAGCGACATGGAACCCGCGGGTTTGCAAGGAGGGTAGATCGCGCGTATACCTTCTCGCAGAAGTTCGCAGAAATGGTCAGAAGGGACCCCAGGTACTTCCGCACGTCTCTCGTTCCCCTCTCCTCCCCTTCCCCCTGTCCACTCCCTCTTCTTTCCTCCCCACCCCGTTTCCTCCCTTCCCTCCCTTCCCTCCATCCCCTCCCTCCCTCCCCTTCCTCTCTCCCTCCTCCGCTTGCTTCTTTGCCTTGGGATTACAACGCACCCTCCTCCGCTTTCTCTGCATGTTTCTTCCGTTCATCATCCTCCTCCTCTTTTTCCGCACCGTTGGTTTTGGTTCGCTATAGAAGAATGACGTGGTGTGAACAGGTTCTACCTGCTGATGGACCCGATCTCCTGCAACGTCTGCTTCTTCTACCTCCCTCCCTCCCTCCGGCAGCAGCTGGTGGACAGAAACCTCAACGACTTGGAAAAGGAGGAGGCGCAGCGGCAGCTCAAGGAGTTCCATGCTCGACTCGGTCAGGTTACTCAGATCATCTACAGGAGGATGCAGGTGAGCACGAACAGCGACAAGAGGAGAGTGGGGGAGGAGTGGTGGTGGAAACGACGAGGACGAGGACGAGGGAAGACGATGAATTTCTTTCGTAATAGGATGGGAGCATCCGGTAGAGGAGCAGGAGCAGGAGGAGGATCTGCACGAGGAGCAGGAGGAGTTCAGGAGGAAAAGGAGGGGGAAGAAGGAGCAGGAGCAGGAGCAGGAGCAGGAGCAGGAGCAGGAGCAGGAGCAGGAGCAGGAGCAGGAGCAGGAGCAGGAGCAGGAGCAGGAGCAGGAGCAGGAGCAGGAGCAGGAGCAGGAGCAGGAGCAGGAGCAGGAGCAGGAGCAGGAGCAGGAAGATGAAGAGGGGAGGAGGGAGGGAGGAAGGGACCTCGAAAGTTTGAAAACTCCAGCAGAAAGACGGCAAGATGCTCATCAACTTCAGCCCTCTTAAAGACAGGTCAGTCACCCTCCTGCCGTTACCTGCCGTTACACGCTCTTCTGCCTTGCTCACACGGCCTGACAGAGATCTGCCTCACTTCTTCCGAGCCGTCATGATCCAGCAGAGAGTAACGGAAGGTGAGAGGAGGAGGAAGGTGGTGGTGATGATGATGATGATGATGATGATGATGATGATGGAGATGATGATGGAGATGATGATGGAGATGATGATGATGATGATGATGATGGTGTGATGATGGTGATGGTGATGGTGATGGTGATGGTGATGGTGATGGTGATGGTGATGATGGATAATGATGGTGATGGAGATGAGCATGATGATGATGATGATGATGGTGGTGGTGGTGGTGGTGGTGGTGATGATGATGATGATGGTGGTGGTGATTGAGATGAAACGGAGGAGAAAGGCAGTGAGCACATGCTGAAATTCTGGGCAGACGATCTTGTTTTCATCCTCGATCATTTTGAACATCTGGGAAAGGACCTCTAGTGCTGAATGTGTAGGGGATACGATGAGAGTAAATGAGTTATGTACAATAAAAGAAAAGCTTCTTGGATTGATCCTAAAACCTCCCCCTCCTCCTCCCCCTCCTCCTTCCCCTCCCCCTATTCTCTTTCCCTACTTGTTCTCCTCCCCTTGCCCCTCCTCTTCCTCTTCCTGTCTTTTTCCTCATCGCAATTCCCTTGTCAACTCCTCCTTACTCGAGGGCGTCGGGATCTGACAGAGCCTGCGATGAAGTCAAAAATTGCGGGTGACAAACGAAGAGCAAAGAGAAGAGAGCGGAGGAAGCAGAAAGGATGGAAAAGAGAAAGGACGAGGAGGAGGATACGTAGGATGGAGAAGGGAGGAGGTACGAAAGGATGAGGTACGAAAGGGAACGTCAGCAGAGGAGCAGGAGGGGAAAGGGAGGGGAGGGGAGAGGGGGAGGGGAGGAAGACCTTAGCCTGGCGGTTGAGGAGGGTCCGATAGCTGAGCCCTCCATCTGGAGGGAGAGGACGAGCAAGAAGCTCCTGGTGCGTTCCCTGCTCTACGATCCTGCCCTTGTTGAGGAGGAGGATGACGTCAGCACGGGAGACAGTGGAGAGACGGTGGGCGATGACGAGGACGGTTCTCCTCTCCATGACATGCTCGAGCGCCTCCTGCACCAGCGCCTCGCTTTCCGAGTCCAGCGCTGACGTCGCCTCGTCGAGGAGGAGAACCTGCCGGGATCTTGATGAGGAGAGGGAGGGAGGGAGCAGGAGGAAGGAGATAAGGGATGAAGCAGGAAGTAAAAAGAGAGGAGCGAGGAGGAGAGGAGAAGGGAGGTAAACAGAGAGGAGGGACGACGGAGGACACGTGGCGAAGGCTAGACAAGAAGTTTGGGGAGGGAGGAAGAAATGTGGGCTTACAAATGGCAGTAGGTTGCGGGGGGATGGAGCGGGAGGGGAGGAAGGGAAAGGATGTGGCCGAGAGAAGCAAGGCGAGGTAACGAGGGGAGGAGAGAGGGAGAAAAGAGGAGAGAGGAAGAGAAAAGGAAGGGAGGGAGAGGAGTCGACCTTGGGGTCTTGGATAACGGCTCTCGCTATCGCGATCCTCTGCTTCTGACCTCCGCTCAACTGGATTCCTCGTTCCCCTACCCCGTCCTGTACCCCTGCGGCAGATGCAAGATGAACTCGTGCGCGTTGGCGACCCGAGCAGCCTCCCTGACCTTCTCCTGCAGCCCCTCCCCGCTCTCTCCTCCGTCCTCGAGGAGGCGATGGTAGTAGCCGTAGAGGATGTTGCTCTCGATGCTGCCCGAGAACAGCACAGGCTCCTGCCCCACCAGCGCAAGCATTCGATGCAGCCATCCGTGCTCCAGCTCACTGACCTCCACGTCGTCCAGGCAGACGCGGCCGGAGGAAGGCTCGTAGAGGTGCTCGAGGAGGTGAAAGATGGTGCTCTTGCCCGCTCCTGAGGGCCCCACGATCGCTGCGATGTTGCCCGGAGAGACTTGGAAGGAGACGTCGTCCAGAGCAGGAGGAAGGGACTCGCGCGAGGGGTAGCAGAAGGAGACGTGTTCTAGAGTCACCTTGCCTCTGACCTCGGTCAGTTTGATCAGCCCGCTCCTCTTGATCCTCGGCCTCCTCCCCAGGAGCTCGAAGACTTTGGCTCCTGCTCCCGCGCTCTTGATGAGGTTGGTAAAGGAGTTGAGGAGGTTGGAGAAATACTCTTGAAGCTGACCCTGTGGGAGGGGGCAAGGTCAAGTCGACTGAATGGGAGGAGAGGAGAGGAGAGGAGAGGAGAGGAGGAAGGGAGGGAAGGAGGGAGGGGGGGATGGGATGGAGGCAACAAGAGGAGAGAGGAGATTCGAGGGAGGGAGGAGCGAAAGAGAGGAGGCTGAGTGGAACGGGAGAGGAAGAGCAAGAGGATAAGGGGACTCAAACTTCCAGCGCAGCATCAGTAGGAGCAGCAGGGAAGATTCAGAGGCAGGCAGGGAGGAAGCGTCATCGTTGGAGGACCTGGTAGAGCATGAAGGAAAGAAGGGTGGTCGCCTCGAGCTCCCCGTTAAAGACGAGCAAAGAACCATAGATAAGGAGGGAGGACTGAACGCAACAACTCATGAGGAAGGTACAAACACCCATGTAGTAGAGGCCGCTAATAGCCGTCTGCCTGACGTTGAGCACGAAATGCTTCTGGACGGCCTTCTCGTACCTCCGCAGCTCCCTGGGCTCGTTGGCGAAGGAGAAGACCGTTCTCATGGAGGAGAGCACCTCCTGCGCTACTCCGTTCGCCTCCGCCAGCGCCTCCTGTACCATCTGTGCGTTCTTGCTCATCCAGGCTGAGTAGAACCTGTTGACGACGGCGACGATAGGGATGATACTGCAGGCAAGGGAGGCTAGGCGCCAGCTCCGGAAGAACATGTAGCCAGCGATACCTCCTATGCGCACCAGGGCCTCGATGGTGAAGCGGAAGACCCAAGTGAGGTCGTTGGCCATTTCAGCGCAGTCGGAAGTGAGGCGGGAGGAGATCTCGCCAGAGGAGGAGGCGTCAAAGAAGGAGGTGTCTTGTAGGAGGAGGTTGCGGAAGAGGTCGATGCGGAGGGAGCGGACGAGCCGCTGCTGGGTGTAGCCGAAGAGAAAGACGCACCAAAAGTCCAGCAGAGAGTCGATCACGGCAGCGATGATGAAGGACGTGATGTTGGAGCGAACGGCGTCACTGTCCTTGTCTATCAGAGCCCCGATGGTCTCGCTGACGAAGTGGGGGAGGGCGAGGGAGAAGGGGAGGCGGATAAAGAGGGCCAGGCAACCAGCGGCGAGCCACATGAACTCAGGCCGAGCTCGTTCAACGAGCTTCTGAAGCTGCAGGATAGTCAGGAGGGAACTAGGACGGCAATGAAGAGGAAGCGCGGGAGAAGAAGTTGGAGGAGGACAACAAGGA